TTCTTTGCATAATGTTCGAGATTTCTTCAACAAACATTTTGTTGCACTGACTCCTCTGGGAGAATGTAGGTTTCTGGTATGTTCTCCAATACAGTATATTTGTCTTCTTTGTATACTCTAGATTTCATGCATCTATAGCAGCACGATCACCACAACAGTTCTCACATAGGTATAGTAGTTGAATCATTCTGTTTCCAAATTATGCTTCATGGAAGAAAGGAAGTTTGGTTCTGCCAGTAGGCATGGATGGGACAGTACAACTTCTCTAGAGAGTAGTCTGTTACTGCAAACCCTTGGGTTAATTTTGGGGGGGTTTCCTACACTGAATGTTAATGCAAAAGTGGGTGCAGAATCAGCCTGTGAATAACCAAAAATTTTGATCAGAATGGGCTATCCATGTGCAGCGATCAGCAGGCAAGTGCTCCTTTGTACCTTTCTCTAGTTAGGGCATTGGACCTGGGGAAAACAGGTGCTTCTCCCGAAATTCAAATCTAAGAGCGCAGTACTGCACAGCAAGACAAACAGGTTAAGATCTGCTCCCTATTCATGTTTTTCCCAAGAAAGAAGTGAGCAAGGACTGCTGCTCTTTGTGCCTAAACCAGTATATGCTGTTTGCCTCCCTTCCCTGATGTTGGCATAATCAAGGAGCTACTAAGCAGCAGAAAAAGCAGCTCTTTCAGCATTTCTCTGTGCATATTTTCACATTTATTTTTTCTGGTTGCTCAGTAACCATTGGGCAGTGTTTGAGAGTAATGTTTGTTTATGCTTTAGGTAGCCTGTCCATCTGCACCACTCTTAGCTGGGGGATCTCTCAATGACCTTGATGAACTCAGGTGCGGCTGAAGAAGTCCCACTTAGAGGATTTCAGATGCTTTTATAGTCATGGCATTTGCTCTCTGTGGTGTTCACACAGCCTGAGGCAGACTGTCATTGGCATGGGTGCCAGCACTTTTAAGACAGCTGGCACCTTGCATTACACCTCTCAAAGAGTCAGTGTGTCAGGCCCAGGGTAAACTTAATGCCTAACATGTCCTTTCCTCTTCAGAGCTCATAGTAACTGGTATGTCAATGCATATTGTGTTTGCACAGCAACCCAAGATGAAAGGAGGCCAAGCACATCCACCAGTCCTCTACGCCCCTTGATTGCTGGTTGGCCCTAGCAGTAACTCAATTTGTTATAATAAAGCTGTGGTTAAACAGTGGCTATTATTCTGCTGCACACACTTTCCAGAAGAAAGGAAGAGACTTGCCAAGTTGCCACTCCTCAGGGAGTGAGACGCAGCTCCCTGAGGAGCTCCCTGAGGAGCTGGATCTCACTGCAACAGTGTCATACTGGAGAAAAAATCTGGCAAGTGGTGCTGCTCTTGGCCTGACACGCACAACTGCTAAGGAGCTCAGCTGTGCAACCTCTGAAAGGAGCTGTCAATGCTTTCTTCTTATTCTTTATAATATTAGCTCCAATAAATGGCATTTGAAGTGAAACTTTACAGTGCCTGAGCACCTTTCTTACCAGGATCATAAGGAACCAGGACTTTCTACTATAAAACCTTCTCCCTGTTATATTTTGAAGGAAATAAGCACTAGTCTTCATATGGGAAAAAAAAGATATAATAACAATTATGTTGTACATAGGTACTAAAAAACAGTTTGAAGGAAAGCACAATGTCAGAGAAAACTGAGGAGAACTGCAACTATCCGAGAGATTAGAGTTCAGTGGAAATGTGAATATGTAAATTGAGAATTACTCAGTAATCAGACTGTGGAAAGACACAGACCTGTCTAGTGTGGGGCAAACGGGCGTTGCCTTTCCATGGATGCTCATGCAAATGGTATTTGACATCTTTTTTTTTGCCTTTAGTCAGTGTACACAGCTGTAGGTTGTCAGGTATGCTGGCATGGCTCAAGCAACACTTAGCATCACACCTGTGCCTGGGGAAGAGGGAGTGGGATACCCTTCAGGAACACGTCTGCTCCAACCACTATTCTTAGTCTCCAACTTCGCTCTGCTCTGCAGGCTCTGTTACTTGCCACTGCACTTTTACAAGCTACAGTTTCCCACAGGAGAAGCATTTGCTGCCAGAGTAGAGGCCTAACCTTCTATTTTTAAGTAAACATTTCTGATTTTGTGAGAGCACTGACCTCTACATTAGGAGCTTCTACCACTACACTAGCAGCAGGAAGCTACTTTCCAGGTCCTGATCATTTTCACCACATTTTTTAGATATCTTGTAAATTAAGATGGTAATTTAAAAAAAAAATCATGTGATGGTTTGTTTTTTTTTAATCTATGCTGTATTTTGCTACTGGTTCCAAATTATCTAGATATCTCTGGAACAAGTGTAAAAAAAATTTTTACAAATTATTTATATATATACACATACACTTCTGCTGTAATTAACTAAGTGATGACCCTTGTTTCAGCCACACCTTCTTCTTTGTTCACCCACAGAATTCCTTTCCCTGTTGTGAGGCTTGTGCTCTTAGGGATACTATGTTAAAGCACTTGCCTTTATTACATATGTCATTAATTGTTTTTCTTTTCCATTTAATCTGAAACTATATGGGCCTGATTATGCAAGCTAATAAATTCTAACATGATTTTGGAGCATCTCTCCTATGAAGACAGGCTGAGGGAGTTGGGGCTGTTCAGCCTGG